GGGGAAAACGAGGAAAGGGCAGAGGTATGGGCACCTTTTCCTCCTCTGAGCTTCCTTGCGTGGCGTCGTTGTCATCCGCAGCGAGGTATGGGCACCTCTTCCTCCTCTGAGCTTCCCTGCGTGGCACCGTTGCCATCCGCAGCGAGGTAGGGGCACCTCTTCCTCCTCGGAGCTTCCCTGCGCGGCACCGCTGTCATCCGCAGCGAGGCAGGGGCACCTCGTCCTCCTCTGAGCTTCCCTGCGTGGCACCGCTGCCATCCGCAGCGAGGCAGGGACACCTCTTCCTCCTCGGAGCTTCCCTGCGTGGCTCGGTTGGCATCCGCGGCCCCTCTGCCGTGCCGACGCCCACCGCCGCCGCGCACACCCACCGGCGCGGTGCCGACGCCCGCGAGCGGAGGCGGCCTCTCCGAGGCCGACGGGCGCCGGCACGGCAGAGCGTGCCGCGCGGCTGCGGGGCCAAGGGGCACATCACGGGAGCCGCTCGTCTTCGCGGACGGCTCCTCGGAGCCCGAGGTCCGCGAAGTCCACTCGTGCTCACGAAGGCCGCTCGTGGTCGCCGATGGCTCATTGGAGCCCGACGCTTTCTCAAAGTGCGCTCGTGGTCGCCGAAGGCTGGAGCAGGAGCCGCGTCCCCCCATGTCCTAGCCTTAGGCAGGCGGATTTTGGAGGAACAATCAATACTAGCAAAAAACGAAACACAAAATACAGAAACATCGTCCCCACACTATCGTTTGGATATCTTTGAACATTCCTCCTGTAGAGGGACATGTCCGACTTAATTCTAGCCCCTGGGCCACCGTGGGCTCCTGAGGAGCGCCAGAGGAACAGCCATGGCGGAGGGAGCCGATGAGCAGCGAGCCCCTTCCGAACCCTACCTGTTCCCGATCTCAGCGCCACCCCCCCTGCGTGGAAGAGGAGGAGGAGGAGGAGGAGGAGGAGGAGGAGGAGGAGGAGGAGGAGGAGGAGGACGAGGAGGAGGAGGAGGAGGAGGAGGAGGAGGCGGAGGAGGAGGAGGAGGAGGAGGAGGAGGAGGAAAAGAGGAGGAGGAGAAGGAGGAGGAGGAGGAGGTGGAGAGGGAGGAGAGGGAGGAGGAGGAGGAGGAGGTGGAGGAGGAGGAGGAGGAAGGAAGAGGAAGAAAAGGAGGAGGAAGAAAAGGAGGAGGAGGAGGAAGAAAAGAAAGAGGAGGAGAAGGAAGAGGAGGAGGAGGAGGAGGAGGAGGAGGAGGAGGAGGAGAAGGAGGAGGAGGAGGAGGAGGAGGAGGAGAGGAGGATGCGCTCCTAACTGCCCCCCCCTTCCTGGAGGTGGAGGGGTGCGGGCGGGCCCCCCCTCTTGGGGCCTTCCCCCCCCTGGCCTGGAGGAGGCTCGAGGCGGCGCCCATCCCTGAGATCTGGGCGTCGAACATTTGCTTCACACCAGTCATTCTGGTGGTTTCGTTTCGGGTCACGGGGCCATCGCGTATCGGGCCAGCTCGAGACGCGCCGAAGACAGATAGCGTCGATCGAGGGCTCCCGTCGAGATTGCTCCTGGCAGTGCTGTATGGTCTCACGACGTCGGATCTCAGGGCTTTCGCCCCCCCTTTCCTTGGGCGGAGGCGAGCCCATGGCCACAGAAGGCACCTGCACGTACAGAACCACCGTGCCCAGCCAGGGCCGTCCTTCCTGGACCCCAGGACGGCGCACACGCCCTCCTGGCGGAGGCCAGGAGGGCGTATGTTCCTACGTTCCGGCATCTGGGGGCCGTTGTCGGGCCCCCGGGGCCGACGGGGGGATGGGGTCAAGACCCCAAGCGAGGGACACCAAATGGAGCGGTAGTTGACTCACGCAGCGCACATGGCGTCTGAGTAGCCAGCGAAGGAAGCATATTCACGCTTTGTCCCCCCCCCCGCCCACCCCGCTCAGCCCGACATGCTCTTGCACGGAGGGCAAATTGGAAACGGCAGCAAAGCACGACCACTGCAGCAACTGCAATGCAGTGGAGGCCATTCCACAAGAAACCCAACCTTGAGACCCCAGGACGTCCATTGATCTTCGGTGTGGGAACGTCCCGCTTTTCATGGCAAAAACCATCGAAAACCAAGAAACCCAGGGCACCCTGAAGGCAAGCAGGGTGTCTCTTGGCATGGGTCTCCACTGCACGCGGAAAGGCTCAGACCGTTTTTGCCCCAGCCATGCTCGGTCCATAGTCCACCAGGCAGAGCATGCTCGGGTGCAGCAGCCGCTCCCCCGGCAAAAGCATCCCACACCCGCCAGCACTGCGCGGGACTCCCAAAGACCAAGGGCCAAGAGTGCCGTGCTCGACCACGTACCATCCAGGCTCCAGAGATCACAGCGTAGAAGAGGGTGGCAGCTCCCATCCTGCCCGCCAGGGCCTCCACCCCCAAGCTCCGGGGAGGACGATCATGACGCCCGAGCACGCGACATGCTCGTTGCAAACATCACGATACGGCATTGAACGACCGGCCACAGAGAAGACGGGACCATTAAACAGCACTACCTATGCGAGTGCCGAGCCTTCCCGTCTGGACCCGATTTTCAAAACGAAGTTCGAATGCAGGCCGCCATGGAGGCTCCATGGAGGCAGCCTCTTTAGAATGCCGCCGCCTGGCACCGGAAGGCGCATGGGAAGGTGAGAGGGAGCATGAGGGGGCAATGCCGTGCGACCCACAGTGGTACCCTTCTCCTGCCCCCCCCCCGTCTCCCATCACAGGAGGAAAATTCAGAGGGAGGGGGAGGAGGGAGAATGAGGGAGAGTATGACAACAAATCCGAATTTGCCCTGGGAGCTGTGCACTTTCAATCTGCCTCATGCCCCCACGTCTTCACCGTGTGGGCGCTGGCGCCCCCTCCGCATGGCCAGGCCGCTCGTGCAGCTCGGCCGCCATCATGCAGGGCCCCGCTTGCATGCGGGACAGGCTGCCCTACCGTAGGCTTAGGTCGGGCGTGTCCCCCCACAGTTAGGACGCCCGAAAGGGGTACGGAACAAATTGGTACAATGCCCAACAACAAATGTTGTCCCGAGCCAACAGCGGCCGCTGTTGGGCAGGCGGCCATCTGCCTCAAATGGACACAGGCCGCGGCGGCGCGGACAGCGAGCCCCTGTCCAAGATGAACAGGAACTGCTATTGGGCATCGTACCCACTCTCTCCGTGCCCATTTCGCTCGTGCAGATACAGGCGGATTTGGACGACAAATAAAACATCATCAAAACATTTTCAACAAGCATTAAAAATAATAATAATAATAATAAAAATCCTAATAATAATAATGATATTAATAATAATAATGATAAATAGTAGTAGTAGTAGTAGCAGTAGTAGTAGTAGTAGTCGTAGTAGTAGTAGTAGTAGTAGTAGTAGTAGTAGTAGTAGTAGTAGTAGTAGTAGTAGTAGTAGTAGTAGTGGTAGTAGAAGTAGAAGTAGAAGTAGTAGTAGTAGTAGTAGTAGTAGTAGTAGTAATAATAATAACAATAATATAAAATGGTCGACAAGTCGTCCACCGACTATTGTTTCTATGTTTGAATATTCCTCCTGTAGAAGGACATGCCCGGTTAACCGTAGGTAGCCGCCCAGAATGGGAGCCCTCCCCCGGAGGATTCCCCGGCCCCCAGCTCGGTCCCCTCCCCCTCCTACCTTCTCCACCCCCTCGACGACTGGGGCCAGAAGAACCTGGGCACGGATGCCGCCTGAGTGCAGGCCCGAGACTCTTGGCGGTGGACAAACCTCCCTTTCGTAAACCTCCCTTTAGTGAAAACGGACTGGGACCGAAACAGACGGAACTGGCCCCGCAACAAAAATGACGGCCGCGACGCCCTCTCGCGAACCGAAAACGCCCAATTCGCTAATCGACGTGTCAGTGTAGGAGGTCTATCCACCCCCGAGACTCGCGCTCGGTCGGACTGGATCGCGCCACGTGCAGCAGCTCTACACAATGAAATTGTTGCGGACGGCTGCAGCGTGTCAGGCGACTGTCACCCGCTCTCCGCCCCTAGGTGGGTGTTCACGGAAGGCAAGGGACATTGTAGCACTGGAGGCGGCCAGAGGGGTCAGAGCTGGATGGGCCCCGAGAAAATCTGTCAACACGGGCAAATCCGCTCAAAATCCATGCCTGCGTTCCATCTTGTGCAATTGTTCACTCCGGATCCGTTTTTGACGGTCCCGTGGCCCGAAACCGGCCCAGGATACCGACAAAGACGAACAACGTTTTCGAAGCTAGAACCTCGAACCTCGCCCTCGTTTCCTGCTGGTCGGAACCAGTGCTGGGCTACCTCAGCCCCCCAGCCAGCCCCCACATGCATAGCGACACGGCACCGGCAAACCGAGAGTGACGATGCCGAGCTGACTGGTCGGAATGCCAACTGCTTGGCGCGGCTCGGACCCACGGACGCCAGCCCGCGTTGAAAAAAGGCGATCGGAACATCATGCCTGTCGGGCGATGGCAGGAGGGGAGACGCTCGGGGGTGGGCCAGCTCAGGGGTGGAAGCGTCGACCTGGAATCGGCAATGCGTCGCCGATAGATCGGCGACAGGCACTGATAGCAAATCCGCACTGTCCTGGACTGGGTGCGCCATCGGGCCCCTAGCGACGATGAATGGGCGATTGGGGGCCCATGCGTCCCCCCCCCCTGAGCCTATCCCAACCCTAACGTTGCCCCTGCGGCAAGGCAGCAGCGACAGCCAGAGCTCCCATGCAACAAACGGGGCACGGCCTTCCGGCCCATGCTCGCCCCAACCATGACTTTGTACATTGCGGTTCGGGGAACAGAGAGAATGAGCCGGACGACCCGCTTCCTGCGAGGCGGGGGTGGTACATACACCCCTCGCATGGAGAACCGATGTCGGTGGATGTGGATTTGGGACCCTGGGGGCGCAACAAAAATCCGTATGCACCGCCGTTGGGGGTCTCAACGAATATCGGTTTCCCAGGCGGTGGATCTGTATAAACCCCCGCCTCGAACTGCGGCTGCGCCGCCGCGCCTGTCTCGGCACCACACAGGACGGACCTGGTCAGTTCGGGACCCCCGCCGCACAGACCATCTCGCAGACCAGCCTCTGGCGCCTCCAGGAGAGCTCGTGCGCATCCCGTGGCTGCCGAGGACCGCTCTGGCCGTGGCAGAGACGCTGCACGGAACGACACGGCGTCGGGCGCTCCTCGTGGTCGATCGGTGCGACGACGCCGTCCGCGCCCTCGAGGTCGACGCGGACGCGGTGGAGCACGCCCTCGACGCCAGCAACCCCCTCGCGCAGCTGCGCGTCCGTGGGCAGCAATGGTGTGGTCGGCGTCGGTGTCGCTTGCAGCCGTGGCGTGGGCGGCTGCTGGAGCGAATCTGGGTGGACAGTGCGCGCGCGGAGCGTGGGCAGGTGGGCGCCCCCCCACCACCAGGCTGGGCCGACGCCGTTGTCCACCTGGAGCAATCCGCCCTCACACTCGGAGAGCTCGGCATCGTCGTCTTCTGGAGGTTCCAGCGGCACGGCGGGCGGCGGCAGCGCGAAGTCGTCGAGGGCGCCGTCCTCGTCCCAACCAAACGTCGGAGACGAACGAGCTGAAAAGATGCCCTCTTCGGTTCCGGGCGCCGTCGAGGTGCCCATGGAGTCGACTGCGGGCGAAGACTCAGAGCTCGCGCGCTTGAGCATCTCCGCAAAGCTGCAACGCAATGCACCAACTTGAGGAATTTCTGTTTCATCTGACCCACCGCCAACAGGCGTGCCGCCAGCAGGCGTCCCGCCGGAGCCCTCCGGCGAAGGTGCGCCTTCCATCGGGCAGCCAGCAGCGCCAGCACGGTGGCAGGCATTCCTCATTATGTGCGTGTGCTTCATTGGGGGTTCGATTCAGAAAGCCATTGCGCCTAGGGAAAGACAGGAGTGTGCAGAGCCCGGTCTGCTTTGGTGTCTCGAGCCGACCAACGGCTGCGCAATCACAGGCTGGGGCGGGTCGAAGTTTAAGCGTTCTGTTTTGACTTCCCCGTCTTCGCCATCGTCGGCCTCGCAGTCGTGGTGTGCGTCGCCGTCGTCAATTCCCGCCGTCGCAGACGGCGTCGCCGCTGTAGACGCCGTTATTGCCGTCGACGCACTCCCTCACGACGCAAACGCGAAACCTGGCAAGCCCCAAAGCATTCTCGGGCGAACCGGAGCGAGGCGCATTTCGGAAGATGCGCTCCAAGACAAGCAGCCGAAGTCTGACCCGCCCGACGCGCTCTGGATGTGACCGCCGCCAAGGCAACGTCACGTCTCGGAGAAGCTAAGGCCGCCTGGGCATCATAACATGTATATATATATATATATATATACATACACAAGACTGCAGTGGCGCTTCGCGCCATGCACCCTGGTCCTTGAAGTTTGGTATGCAGGCGAAATAGCAGGAAGGTCAAGCCGACAATTTAGCGATGACTCCTTGTTGCCTTTTCCGGCATCGCCGGTATGATAATCTTACTCGTTGTTCTTCCTCCATGCTTCTTTTTCCTCATGTTCGCCATACCCTGCGCATTCTCGATCCCTATCCTCCTCAGCTTTTTTTTGCGGAGGCTCCTCCCGGGAGAGCCTCTGGGGGCCTAAAACAAATTGTTCAGGCTGTCTCAAGGCCTTCTGGAGGCCTCCTGGGCGTATTCTGGGGGCCTCTGGGCGCTTCCTCGGGCCACCCTGCCTCCAACCACGGTCTCCTTGAACGTCCGGGTCATAATTTGGAATGCTTCGGAGGGTGTCTTGGGGCCATCTTGGGCCGCCATGGGGCTCTCTGAGGGCCATCTTGGACCCGTGTTGTGCCGTTTTGGGGCTCTCTTGGACTGCCTGGAAGCCTTTTCGGATGGTTGTGGGGCGATTTTGGAGCCTCCCAGGCGGCTTCAGACGCCCAGAAGACCGCCGTCTTGGAGCGTCGGGAAGCCGAAAAGAGGAGAACCCCAAAACTCACCAAAAACTAACAGAAAATCAATGATTTTTGTCTCTTGGGAGTGCTCTTGGAGGCCTCTTTGGGGCCGTCCTGGAGGCCTCTTGGGCCATCTTGAGGTCACGTCGGTCACTCTTGGAGGGCTCTTGCGCTGTCATGGGGGTCTCTGAGACGTCTCCGATGACCCCCCTGATCGCCCTAGGTGTGCTGGGAAGGCTTGGCAAAACGCCCTGCGAGGCCAGGGGGGCCGCTTCGAGACCCGTCTGGAAGGTCCCAAAGCCCCAAATCCCGGGAGTCCGGTTTCGGGGGGGGGGGGTGATGGGTTTTCCCCCCGCCCGAGCTTATAAAAATATAGGAAGAGGAATGTGTGCAAAGCGCGCCTCCAGGGCTTCCCTGCTTAGTAGATTAGGTCGCCGTCTTGGGGCTATCGGCAGGGTCGATGTTGGTTTGCCGAGGGCTCACGGGGCCAGATCAACACTTCCCAATCGTGGCGAACGAAACAGCGTTTGAATGGTGTTCGCATTGTCGCTGTTCGGTCTGCAGGGTGCCTAAGATGGCGCAAGATGCCCAGGGTATCGCTCCACGACGGGCACCTGAGGCACCCGTCAGGGGCCCAAGAGACCTCCAAGACGGACCAGGGGCAGACCCAAGGAGGGGGAATCCGATGGAACATCGGAAGCCCTGCACCCGAAGATGGACGCGATCCCCAGGAGGCTCCCAAAAGGGCCTTTAGAACCCCCCCATCCTCGGGAGGTCCGCAACATGCCAACCAAAGAGGCCCTCCGAAGGTACCCTGCATTAAAAAAGACGGAGGCGACAACAAATCTTGTTGTCAGAAACCTAAATGCACGATTGTCGTCGAACTTTGAGCTTCCTGAGATGCCGCAGAGCTTCAGTGGGCCTCAAGGCTGCTTGGGGCGCTGGATTTGACAACACATCCTGACCTTTTCCAGAAGGCTCCCGTGGTACCTTCGGGCAGGGCTCATGTACTGGCATTGCGGCCGCAGATACCTCCAAGAAATTCTCCAAGGTGGCCATGAGCACCATTAAAGCCTTCCAGGATGGCCCGATTGAGCTCCACGCCCATTTGGGATGCCTCTCAGGGCTCAATAGGACGCTAAGACAGCCCCAAGGTGGCCCGAGAGAGCCCCACGAGGGCCCAAGATAGCCTCGGGACAGCATTGCAAGTCCCAAGAGTGCCCCACAACGGCCCAGAGAGGCCCCCACGACGGTCTCCGAATGCGCCAGACAAGCCCGAACAGAGCACTCAAACGGCCCCTCCGGGAGTCACTTCAAAGCGCGTTTGCGACAGTACCTCAGGGCCCGTGATCTGCCACCAATGCCTTGCGTTGAAGGCATTTCTGCAGATGCCGACCCCTGTGATCACCCAGTCGTTGAGGTCAAAGATGGGGGAACATGGCTGCGCAATGCTAAGTATCCAACATCTCGCTTCTACCATGTGAGATGCCAAACCCTGTCATGAAAGCGCCTACACAGTACGCCATCACATCTGCAATACCAAATCACGACAATTGGGCGTGTCCAAAGACAGGGGGTACGGCGACTCGCTGAAGGTGTCTTCGATAATTTGGCATTCCTGGGTGGGTTCACATCGCCTGGTGGATTAGAACCTCCCTAAGGACTCGAATGCAACAAGAGACACCATGTTGTTTCGAACAACGTTCTAACCCTGAGCGGTCTTTAGCACATCACTTGATATAAAGTAACTACAACAAAAATACGGCGGCCTTCTTGGAGGACTGGGGTCCCACCAATACGGGATCACTAAGTATGTGTGTTCCGCGGCACCCGCCGCGCAACAATGACGATGGCAGCTACTAGTCCTCCTCCTCCTCCTCCTCCTTCCCTCCTGCTCCTCCTCCTCCTCCTTCCCTCTTCCTCCTCCTCCTCCTCCTCCTCCTCCTCCTCCTCCTCCTCCTCCTCCCCCTTCTCCTCCTTCTCAGGAATGATACTCGGGGGAAGAGGAGGAGGAGGAGGAGGAGGAGGAGGAGGAGGAGGAGGAGGAGGAGGAGGACGGAGAAAGAGGAAGAGGGAGGAGGAGAAGGATGAGCAGGAGGAGGAGGGGGAGGAGTTTTTAGGACCAGTCCGATTCACCGCCGAGAGAAAAGGGGGGAACCAAAACTAACGACCTTTAGCAATTACCCAGAACATGTTCCCGCAACGGGATGGCTCTTCGCTGTAACGCCATGGCAAGCCAGTGAAGCGGGCCGCAAGCAACTGCAAAACTGTGCAGTGTATCATGATCATATGGCAGTGGATCCCTTGAGTATGGCGACGGGCCCTCGGTTATGGCAACGGACCCCTCTGGTATGGGGAAGGACGCCTTGGAAGTGGAAATGTACGCCTTGGGCCTGATAGAGATTCCCAGGAGTCGAGCGAGTACTCGTCCCTGTCTGTGCGGAGGAGGCAATGGGCCCGTTGCCGCCACACCCCTGGAGTTAGGCCGGGCATGTCCTCCTGCAAAGCGGATTTTGAAGGACAAATCAGACATAGCCAAAACGAACATTCAAACATAGTCAACACATAATAGAACACTCGTCCCCACACTGTGTTTCTCCACTATTTTTGAATCTTCCTCCTGTAGGGGGACGTGCCCGACCTCACCCTGGGAGCCGTGAAGCCGCGGGGATCCTCGTGGAACACGTCGCGCTGCCGCTGCTCGCCGCGGCGAGCCCCAGCTTGTCCTCAGTGACACAGAAGGCTCCGCGCGAGGCGCACGGCGCGTGCGAGGAGCCCGGCCGGCGAGGGCACCCTCCTCCTCCTCCTCCCCCTCCTCCTCCTCCTCCTCCTCCTCCTCCTCCTCCTCCTCCTCCTCCTCCTCCCCTCCCCCTCTCCTCCTCTCCTTCCCTCCTCCCCTCCTCCTCCTCCTCCTCCCCCTCCTCCCCCTCTTCCGCCTCTTCTCCTCCTCTCCTCCTCCTCCTCCTCCACCACCTCCTCCTCCTCACGCAGGCAATCCACGGCACCCCTAAGGCCATGGCTGGCCAATGCTGGAAACCCTGAAGCCAAATATCAGCCAGCGCAAACTCTAAAGTGACTAAACGATGGAACTAAAGTAGACCGGACTGGACTGGGGGGACTCTACTCTTCTCTACCCTATTTTGCCCGACTCGACTCTACCATCTACTACATACCCTAGTCGACCCTACTTTGATCTACTCTACCCTACTCTACGCTACCCTACAATACACTAAACCACCCTGCTCCACTCTTCTTTCAAAAAAATAATACACTCGACCACCCTCCCCCCAGGGTTGTCGGTTCCCCCCGGGACATTGCAAATTACATGCGACTCAGGCCCACCGCTCTCTTTCCACATAACTCAAATTCAGAACATCCCAGCTAGATCGGCCCTGTCAAATCCGCCACCGCGTTTGCAGCGGTTGGTGTGCGTCGGGCCTTTTCGCCTCTTGCGAAGCAATAACTGAACCCTCCGACGCATCAAACCCAAGATGTGTTCATGTCTGGAATCAGGGCCCGGTTTTTTTGCCTTCCAGGCAGAAAACGGTCCCCAGTTTCAAAGCCTGGGGCAGGGGGGTACGTGGAGCCTCCCCCCTCCCCCCCCCGAGGCGCCCCCATCCCCGCCGCCTGAGCGCCGTGGCGGAACCGCGCAGCAGCGCGGCTGGATAATACGACGCGCGCGAGCTCGTCGATTGCAGAAGATCATGTTTCGAGCACGCCTTGCAACCGAAAGGCACACTGTCCACAGGCGCGCACATGTCAACATCATACCACCACACACCACTTCTGTAAGCACTTCACCATCAAATCATCCGAAACTATTCGGTTCTGTCGTGGCAAAATGTTTCAGATTGTCTGCCCACGCGCCCTTGCAGAAATCACGGGGCAACAATCTGAAATTCGCCACCTCCTCCAGACTCCGCATCCTTATCTCAGAAAGAACGCGTTTCGTGGACGCTCGCCTGGAAGAAACACCGTGACACGCTGGAATCGGGAATGGCCCCCCCCTAGCGAAACATTGAACGCCCCTGGAGACACGGGAGGGGCCCCTCCCCTCTGGACACCGGCCTCCCCGATTAGTTAACGAGGGGGCCCGCCCCTTGAGGGGAGCGGGGTTCGAACCGGGGGGGGAGCCTCCCCCTGTCCAAGGAGGGGAGTTGGGGTGTTCGAACTGGTGGGGGGGATCTCTCCCCCCGAGCTGCGAGGGGGGCACGGCGGGGGGAGGGTCGAACCGAGAGGGGGGCCCCCACCCTGTGTCAAGGGAAGGGGGGTTCGAACCCGGGGAGGGGGGTCGAACCAGGTGCGGGAGCTCCCACCGCCTGAATCAAAGGGGCGCGGTCGAACTGGGCCCCCTCCCCCCCTGTTCGGGTGGTCGTCGGTCGCCGTCGCCGAAGCCGTCGGCACCGTCGCCGACGCCGTCGCCGCCGTCGCCGTCGCCGTCGCCGTCGCCGTCGCCGTCGCCGCCGCCGCAGCCACCGCTGTCGTCGCCGTCGCCGTCGTCGCCGTCGCCGTCGCCGTCGCCGTCGCCGTCGCCGTCGTCGTCGTCGTCGTCGTCGGTCGCCGCCGTCGCCGTCGCCGTCGCCGTCGCCATCGCCGTCGCCGTCGCCACCGCGCCGTCGCCGCCACCACCGCCACCGCCGTCGCCGTCGCCGTCGCGGTCGCCGCTGCCGTCGGCGTCGCCGTCGCCATCGTCGTTGTCATCGTCGTCGGCGTCGTCGCCGTCGCCGCCGCCGTCGCCGTCGCCGTCGCCGTCGCCGTCGGCGTCGTCGTCGCCGCCGTCGTCGTCATCGTCGTCGTCGTCTCGGGTCGCCGTCGCCGTCGCAGGTCGCCGCCGCCGCCGTCGTCGTCGTTGTCGTCATCGTCATCTCGGGTCGCCGTCGCCGTCGACGTCGCCGTCGCCGTCGCCGTCGCCGTCGCCATCGCCGTCGTCGTCGTCGCCGTCGTCGTCGTCGTCGTCGTCGTTTGCCGCCGTCGCCGCCGTCGCCGTCGCCGTCGCCGTCGGCGTCGTCGTCGCCGTCGCCGCCGCCGCCGCCGCCGTCGTCGTTGTCGTCATCGTCGTCGTCGTCGCCGTCGCCGTCCCGTTCCCTGGGACCTGCTGTTCTAGTCCGAGTCGCTCGCAGCCTCGGGGCGAGGCAACCGCTTCCAGCGGCCAAAATCGCTCAAAACTGCAACCGGAAGCCCAGACCCCGTCCTTCTGCGTCATTCCTGAACCATTTGGACGCCCGAAGAGGGTATGGAGGAAATGGGTACGATGCTCAACGACACATGCTGTCCAAAACCGACAACGGCCGCTGTTGGGCAGGCGGTCTTCTGTCTCAAGTGGATAACGGCCGCGGCCTCGCTAACAGTGAACCCTGTTCAGGATGAACAAGAACTTCTGTTGGACTTGGCACCCATTGTCTCCGTACCCGTTTCGATCGTCCCTCGACCCGTGAGGGTCCTACGACCTGCGTAAAAAAAAGTTTGCGGCGCCAGGGCCTCTGGGACCGAGGGCGGTCGGGCGTCGCCCATGCCCAAGCCCCCGACGTCGCGATCTGCGCGCACGTTGGCCCCCAGATGTCTGGACCCCGTCTGAGAACAGGCGGCTTCTCACCCCGAGGCTTGCCTGACGGCCGCGGGCTGCCCCGTGAGGGCCCCGAGAGGCCGACGGCCGCCAGGCTCTCTCCACCACGCGCGGGGCCCCTCGGAGCAGGCGCGGCGAAGAAAGCGCAGCATCGCGAACAATCACGAGCAGAGAGCCCTAGAGGCCCCAAGCTTCTGTTCCATGTCTCGAGCCGGACCCACCTGTGCGGGTCCCCGGGCCCGAAGCAGGGCTTGTGCAAAGACTGTGGCGCCAGGATCTCCGATCTCCGGGTCTGTGGAGGCCCTGATCGGCGGCGGGCGAGGGGGGGAAGTGAGAAAGAGAAGGCCTTCTCAGAAGGCTCGGAAGTTCCACGGCCTTCTGAGAAGTTTTCTAAGCCTTCCCCAAAGACACAAGAAAAAACTCTAAGAAGAGGCGCGAGGGCCTCTGGCAAACCCCGCCGCCTTCGGAGAAGGCCTTCTCCTTCTCACTTCCCCCCCCCCCCCTGGCGCGCCGCCGAAGCTGGATCTTGGGTCATGGCTCGGGTCTCCGTCTGCGGTTCGGGACGATCCCGGCACCCCCGGACCGCTCTCGCCGAGGCGCAGCCGCTGGAACGCCTGCCGAAGCTGGAACACCGCAGAGAGCCGAGGACGGCGCCCGAAAAAACGCTGCCGCCACGCTCTCTGCCGATCGAGGGCGGGCGCGTGCCACCGGCGCCCGAGGCCCGGGCGATGGCGTCCGACAGCCGGAGCACCATGGGGGGGTCGGGCGCCACCGCCGAGGCAGGCCACGCCCTCGCCTGCCGCTGGGCCTGCTCGGCCTGCTGCTCCGGCGCGGGCTCGCCGCGCGGCGAGGGCATCCTCGGCACGGCCGCGGGTCGACGAGGAACGGCGCCAACGCCGCGCGACAGAGAACGACGCCGACGTCGCGCGACGGAGAACGACGCGCGACGCACGTCGAGGAACGATTTTTTGTCGTGAAGTCGGACCTTCGGGGACGCCAGCGACGCACGACTCACGGCGACTCCAGCGACTCACGACCACGCACGACTGCGCAGAATTGAACAGGGGCCGACCGTCCCGGCATTCCTACAGGCCTACCACGAAGCGCTATTAAAACCCACAAATGTTCTCAGAACAAAAACAATGTTCTTAGAACATAAGCCCGATGTGTTGAAACAAGAAAGTCTCAGCCGGAAGTGTTCGAAGGACATTCCGTGACCACAACAGGTTCTTAGAACATTCTTTGGTGGGCTTATATATGGAAACCAGGACGCTTCGCCACTGCTCGACAGAAGGTACCTACACACCACCGTCTAGGCCAGGAGGACCCATGCACCATCCTATAGAGCACAGGATGGCCCTGGCCAGGCACGGCGGTGATGCTTTGATTTAGGTTGGGCATGTCCTCCTATAAGAGACCATTTTTTTATTTCTGGGGGATAACGCATGCTACCCGGGGGCGTGGGGGGGGCTTGGGGTGGGGGGGGTAGCGGTAACTGAGGCCGCGGCGCGCACCCCCTGAGGCGCGCCGCCTACGTCGTCGTCGTCGTCGTCGTCGTCGTCGTCGTCGTCGTCGTCGTCGTCGTCGTCGTCGTCGTCGTCGTCGTCCAAGCCCACAACGCCTGTGCACACAGCGCCTGTGATTGCTAAGCGTAGCCGCGAAGTCTTGTGTACACTACCTATAGAACACGAGTGCACCAAACTGCCTGTGAGCACTACCAAAAAATGCGTGCGCCACTACGGACTTGCACACCATAGGTGCTGCTGCAGCAGAGGCTTCTGCGTGCACCACAGCGCCTGTGTGCACTCCGATGCCTGTGCACACCACAGGAGCAACGTGCACCACAGCGTATGGCGAACATTTGCGCCACAGCGCTACCGCGCACCTCCAAGGCCCCGCCGGGGCGCGAAATGTGGAAAATCCCTGGGAGCCCGAACGTATCAAATTCAATATATAACTTACTTGTGATTATTATTTTTTCTGGACTGGGGTGCGGTACCCCCGTGTACACCACAGCGCCTGTCTAGCGGGCGCCACGACTCTTTTGTACACCACAGCTGCTCGTGTACACCGCAGCGCCTGTCCAGACAACAGTGCCCGTGTACACCACAATTCCTGCGTACGCGACAACACCCGTGTGCACCACAGCGCCTGTGTACACTGCGGTGCTTGTGCACACCACAAGAGCCGCGTGCACCACAGCGCATGGCAAACATTTGCGCCAAACCGTTTCCGTGCACCTCCAAGGTCCCGCCGGGGCCCAAATCCGGAAAATCGCCGGGGGCCCGAACATTTCAAATTCAATGTGTAAGTTATCTGTGATTCTTAATTTTCTGGCCTGGGGTGCGGTACCCCCGTTTTTGGGCGACCATGTTTGTGTACACCACAGCGCCTGTCTAACGTGCGCCACGACTCCTTTGTGCACCACAGCTGCTTGTGTACACCGCAGTGCCTGTCCAGACAAAAGTGCCCGTGTATTCCTGCGTACGCGACAACTTCCGTGTGCACCGCAGCGCCTGTGTACACCACACACACACACACTGCCTGTGAACACGACGACGCCTATGCGCACCACGGTTGCTGCTTCAGCACCGCATTCGTGCACCAAAGCTCCAGTGCACCAGAGTGCTTGTGCACACCACAAAAATGCGTACACTTCAAGGGCCCCTTGCAGGACCGAGCTCCAGAAAATCGTGGCGAATCCGAACGTATCAAATCTAAAATGCAAGCTACTTGTGATTTCCGGCTTTTCTTGCGTAGGAACCAATCTTTTGGGCCCACAGCGCCGGTGTACACCATAGCGAACGTGTGCACAACAGCGGATGTGTACACCGCAGCGCCTGTGTACACCACAAGGTGTGGTACACCGCAACGACAGGGCACCACAGCGCTTCTGTACACCACCATGCCTGGGATGCCTGCGCGTATGATAACTGATGTTGCAGCAACAGGTGTACACACCACGAAGCCTTTCTTTACAATATTGCCTCGGGTGCATCACGATGCCCCCGTGCACCGCGCGACCTACGTGCACTCATGCTCGCGTGCACCACAACGCCAGCACACACAACAGTTCTTGCTGCAACAGCAGCAATTGCGCTCACCAAATCGCCTCGATGCCTGTGCACAACGCAATGCCTGTGCACGCGCTGCTCACGTGCACGTCCAGATGCCTATGAACGACGTCGGTCGTCGTCGGTCGTCGGTGTCGTCGTCGTTCGTCGTCGTATATCGTCATCTATCGTCATCTGCCGTCGTCTGTCGTCGTCTGTCGTCTGTCGTCTGTCGTCGTCTCCCAGTGCCACTCCAAGCCCCAACGTTTCGTCAACGTGCATCCAAACACCTACATGCTGTGGCGAACACCACCGCGCCGTTGAACACAACGTTCCCTGCAAGCTCCCTGCGCCCGCCCCCCGGACCTGCACAACCGGCTAGGTTAGGGGCTAGGTTAGGTTATCCTGGGGCGGAGGGGGGGGCGAACCCGATAACCCGGGTTATCGCCGGACCCTAACAAAAAACAATCTCCTGCGTGCACCATAGTGCACGCCCGCATGCTCAACAGACCCTAGGCTGCCCCGGATCGCGCGCTGGATCGGGGCCGGTGCGTTGCCTCTACGGGGGGGGGGGGGGTAACATGCGTTACCCCTTGGGTGGATAAAAAAATTGTGCCTAGGCGGCTTTTGGAAGAAATAATCATCGAAAAATATTCAAAAATAGTGAATATAGTAGAAAAATCGTCCATCTATTATTTTGTGACTATTTTTGGATATTCCTCCTGTACGGGGACATGCCCGACTTAGGCTTAGATGCGCCCATCCCTGTGGAACGACAGCCGAAGCAGATGGGGTCGGAGTATCGCACCACATCGGCGGTGCATTGACGACGTAGTGATGCAGAAGATCGAACGCGGACCGCGCAGCACCGCGAAGCGGCGCGATCTTCCGACCCGACCTGGCCTTCGGCAGCTTCGTGCCGTGACGACCTGTGGCGCTGGTCTCTGACACCGCGAGGATCGCGCCACCTTGGACGATCGCGGCGTTCGATAGCGCGGATCGCTCGACGTCGCCCGATCCTGGGCCACGGGCGGCGTTCTCGTTGGGCGTCTTGATGGGGGGGCGATAAAAGGGGGGGGGGCGGTGGGGGAGAAACTTGTACCTTGCGTGCCCCTTCTGGGCCTCGGGGGGGCCCTTGATGGGGCCCTTGACGACACAAGAGGTGCGCACCTCTGCCCGCCCCCCCCTGCAGTAGGGACTCGACCACAAGAAACCGTCCACAGGGAACCCAAACCCTGAGACCCCAAGACGTCCCTGGACTCTTTGGTGTGGGAGCGTCACGCCTTCCAGAGCAGAACCATCGAAATCCAAGGAACCCGGGGCACCCTGGAGGCAAGCAAGGTGTTTCTTGGCATGGGCCTCCACTGTATGGGGCGTTCCAAACAGGGCCTTGCCTTCGAGAATCGAAGGAGTTGTCACCTCTTCCGCGGCGGAGGGCGGCGGAAGGTCGGCGGAAGGCCGGCGGAAGCCGGCGGAAGGCGGGCGAAAGGTGGCGGAAGTCAAACATGCGCCCCCAAGAAATGAAAACGCTTGGGGCTTCAGGGTTTTCGAAATCGCCCACGTGTCGCCCCCCCATGCCGCAACGCCCGGTGTCAACCAGGAACGCCCGCGCCGGGGCCGCCGCCGCGTCGACGAGATACGAGCCCGCCTGCCGTGCTCTCCAATACCTCGTGGGGGGGGGGCCGAGGCGGCCTGCTGCTGGTGGGCGTGGCGGCGATCGACAGGAACGACTCCAGCTCCCGCGGGCACAGCGCCACGGGCTGCAGCCCGCCGCTGGCCTGGCGGCTCATCGGGGACCGGCCGCGGCTCTGCGCGCCGCTGGTGGTGCCGCTGATGGGGCGGCTGACCGGGCTGGACCGCACCCGGCGCTCGTCGAAGAAGCTGTCCAGCGACGGGGACCTGCGCGGCGAGGAGCGACCTAAGAGGAGCCCTCACTCCTGCCTTCTGGCTACCTACCAGGCCACCCCAACCCAACCCGAAGACCCGAAGTTCGGGTTGGGGGGGGGGGTACGGGTTCCACATGTGTTTTTGTCAAGGTTCCCCGGCCCCGCCCCCCACTGGAAAGAAATGGAGGGCACATTGAAGCCTTCGGGTTTGTCTGGGGTGGCCCGGTGGGTGGTGACCTTCGTCGCGGGGCCGAAGACAAAAGACGACGGCCCGCCCGCCCGCCAGGGCCCGCCGGGCCCGCACGCGCGCGAGGACCCGCCCGCTAGGGTCCGCCCGCCCGAAGCCCCTCCGCCGGCCCGCCCGTCAAGGCCCGCCCAGCGAAGGCAAGATTGCCCCCATGGTAAGGCACAGCGGCGCGGCGCCTCTTTCCCCACGCGGGCCGCGACAGCGGGACAAGCGCGTGGAGAAGAGGGCGCTCTCACGCGCGACCTTACGCGGGCCCCATTGTTCGAGTCGCTCCCCTGGACCTCCGCCGTCCTGGTCCGCTCGACCCCTGAGGCCCAAAAGCGCCATGAGCAAATCAAGCGTTTCAGGTCCGAATCGGGCCCCAGGACCCTCACGGATCGATCCGGCCCAGGAGATGCCTCAAAAAGGAGAAGGGGCCAGATTTCCCGCCGGATGTTTTTCGCGACGTGGTGACTTTTGTTCACGACGTCGGATCTCAGGGATGCGCAGGGCTCCAAATATTGGCGGCGCGCACAACGGGGTGGGGGGGGGGGGGAGGGCTTCTTAAGCAGGCTGCTTCCTTACAAGGCGCCGGCCTTCCATCTATAGACAAGGCCCGCGCCTTCTAGAAACCAGGGGTGCTTCTAAGGAGCCCCCCCCCCTCCCCCCACCCCCCTCTGCGCGTGGCTGAAAAGAGCTCGCGGCCCCACCTGTCGATTGGACTCCACGGGCAAGGCGCCCCGCTCGGGCCCGAGGACCTTCCGGGAGACGACCCCCCCTGCCAAGGACCTGCCTCCGAGGCTTATGTCGGGCATGTCCTCCTGCAGGCGGATATTGGCAGAACATTCAAAATAGTGAAACAGCGATTCAAAAAAGGTGGAAATCATTTCAACAAAATCGTCCCCTGACTATCTGTTCAAACTATTCTTGACGATTCCTCCGGTAGAGGGACGTGCCCGACTTCATTCCGAGGCCCGCCGAGCACGGACCCCCGGCGCCGTGTGGCCGACCCCAGCGGCGTGATGGGCCTCCTCGAGAGCTCCCTCGTCGCGCCCCGCCGGAAGCTCGGCGCGCGGCGCTGCCCTCGCGCCCCCGCCGTTTGCGAGGGTCAGCGCGGCGGCCGCAGCCGTGCGAGGCCATCTTCGCGCACCGAGGGGTCGCCCAGGCACTGGCCTTGGGTCGGGCGTGTCCTCCTACAGGCGGATTTTGGAAGAAAGTAAAACAAAACAACAAATATTCAAAAACAACGAACAATACCGAAAAGAATGTCACCAGGCTACTTTTTAAAACAATTCCTGAACATTCCTCCTGTAGAAGGACATGCCCGACCTAACACTGGCCTGCTATGGCGGCGTCAGGGCACAGGATCCCGTGCTCGACGCCCCCCAGACGAGGCCTGCGGCTTCCTCCGGCGCCAGCGCCTCTGCCGCGGAAGCCGAGGTCCCGTCTCGGCCCCGTCTGCCCCGGGGGCCCGCTCTCCGTCGCGGGCCACTTCTGCTCGTGATGTCCCGCGGGGCCCGACGACGGCCCGCCGCGAGAAAACGTCCCCCGTCAGTTTTCGACAACGACTTGAGATCTTGGACCTGCGGCGACGACGACGACGACGACGACGACGACGACGACGACGACGACGACGACGACGACGACGACGACGACTATGACGACGACGCGACGACAGCCCATCGACCCTTCCTGGACCTCGTGGCGGACCCTGGCACGGCGTCGAGGGCCACCCCTCGGATGCCCAACAAAAAGACGAACCAGTCCTCCCTCCTCGCTGCCCCGTCCCAACATGCGCCCCTATGGAGTACGGTCTTGGGTTCCCCCGGATGGACGCACGGCACCAACCGCACCTCGACAGCAGCGCCCCCTGGATCGGCGGTGCGGCGTAAGCTCACGAACCCACGTCGAGAAGTGGCGTGTCGCCAGAGGCAGGGCCGCGGAGCAGAGCGGAAGCCCCCCTGATGCAGCGTATCCCGTGAATTCAATTATTGCATACTTGGTATTCTCGTGCGTTATATTGTGCCCCCCCTAGTCCCCCCCCCCCTGAGAGTCGCGGCACATCGGCGGACTGAAGTGCCGCCCCCCCTTCTGGGGCCCAAATTCGCACCAACACGTACAAGTGGCACGCGTGCCATTGCTCTTGCACAAAGCGGAGGGGGAAGGAGGAAGAGGAGGAGGAGGAAGAGGAGGAGGAGGAGGAAGAGGAGGAGGAGGAGGAGGAGGAGGAGGAGGAGGAGGAGAAGGAGGAGGAAAAGGGGGGAGAGAGGGGGCGAGAAATCGGAGAAGTCTCGGGGGGGCGGGACGGCGGGGGCGGTGCGACGCAGAAATAAAATGGTCGGGGCGGAGGGGGGGCGGGGTGCACTGGGCGGGCGGGGAGGGGAGAACGATCGTGGGGGCGGGACGGTGGGGGGCATGCTACGCCGAAATGGTCGGGGCGGAGGGGGTCGCGCTGGTGGTGGTGGTGGTGGTGGTGGTGGTGGTGGTGGTGGTGGTGGTGGTGGTGGTGGTGGTGGTGGTGGTGGTGGTGTGGTGGTGGTGGTGGTGGTGGTGGTGGTGGTGGTGGCGGTGGTTGGTGGCTGGGTGGGTGGAGGCGCGGGAGGGGCGGGGCGGTGGGGGCGGTGCGACGCCGAAATAAAGTGGTCGGGGCGGAGGGGGGCGGGATGCAGAGGGCACTGGGCGGCTGGGAAGGGGGGAACGGTTGGAGTGGCTGGACGGGGGGGGCCGTGCGACGCCGAAATTGAATGGTCGGGGCGGAAGGGGGCAGGGTGGGGAGGGCACTGGACGTGGGGCGGTGTTGCGCTGGTGGTGGTGGTGGTGGTGGTGGTCGTGGT